GGACTGTCGGGGAGGGGTGGGAGTGTAACATGGGGGGGGTGGGGGAGGGCAGCTGGAAGAAGACCCAGCTGAGATGGAGAAGGGCTGGTGGGCCGTGCACGGCATGGTATTCGGAGGAGTTGGAGTCACGGGGGCCCGGGTGGGAGGGGGGTGGGCTGCCGGGTGCGGGCTGTAGGGGGTATGTTGGGCACTGGGCCATAAGGGGAAGAGGACAGGACTGGAGGTCTGATGAGTGCTGGGGTGGAAGGTTTGGGGTCTGGTGGGTGTGGGGTAGGAGGTTTAGGATCTACGTTGGCTCTCTGGGTCCTGGGTAGGGGGTTTAGGATCTAGATAGCCCGGGTGGGAGGGGGGTGGGCTGCCGGGTGCGGGCTGTAGGGGGTATGTTGGGCACTGGGCCATAAGGGGAAGAGGACAGGACTGGAGGTCTGATGAGTGCTGGGGTGGAAGGTTTGGGGTCTGGTGGGTGTGGGGTAGGAGGTTTAGGATCTACGTTGGCTCTCTGGGTCCTGGGTAGGGGGTTTAGGATCTAGATAGGCTCTCTGAGTCCTGGGTAGGGGGTTTAGGATCTAGATAGGCTCTCTGAGTCCTGGGTAGGGGGTTTAGGATCTAGGTAGGCTCTGTGGGACTGGGGAGGGGGTTTAGGATCTAGGTAGGCTCTCTGGGTCTTGGGTAGGGGGTTTAGGATCTACGTGGGCTCTGTGGGTGCTGGGGAGGAGGTGTAGGATCTAGGTAGACTGTATAGTTTAGGGGGTTTAGGATCTAGCTGGGCTCTGTGGGTGCTGGGGAGGGGGTGTAGGATCTAGGTAGACTGTATAGTTTAGGGGGTTTAGGATCTAGCTGGGCTCTGTGGGTGCTGGGGACGAGGTGTAGGATCTAGGTAGGCTGTGCAGGTTAGGGGGTTTAGGATCTATGTGGGCTCTGTGGGTGCTGGGGAGGAGGTGTAGGATCTAGGTAGGCTGTATAGTTTAGGGGGTTTAGGATCTAGCTGGGCTCTGTGGGTGCTGGGGAGGGTACGTCCCCTTCTCCCTCCGCAGTTCGACTTCACGTCCTGCCAGGGCGTCCTCTTCGTCATGCTCATGGTGCTGCTCTTCAGCGGGCTGCTCCTGGCCATCCTGCTCCCCTTCCAATACGTAAGTCCCACGGGGCCCTGGCTGCTCGGGGTCCGGGCGGGGCAGCGCCAGGCGCAAACCACAACGCAGCCTGGTTCCTACTTGGGCAGGGCAGCCTCGCTTATTCGGGCTCCAGCATTAAAGGCAGGAAAGGCCCCACCCCCTTTCTGCCCTTGCAAACACCAGGCTAAACTCACCCCCGGGCTAACCTCACAGTGGCCAACGCCGGGTGCCCCAGAAGGAATGGACAGAACCGGGAATCATCCAGTGATCCCTCCTCCGTCGCCCATTCCTAGCCCGAGAAACAGACGAGGGACACCATCTCTGCTCATCCCGGCTAAGAGCCATTGACAGACTAACCTCCGTGAATCTATCTAGCTCTTTTCTGAACCCTGTTAAAGTCCTGGTTTTCACCACATCCTCCGGCAAGGAGTTCCACAGGTTGACAGTGCACTGCGTGAAGAAAACCTCCCTATGGTTGGTTTTAAACCTGCTGCCTCTTCATTTCATTGGTGACCCCTCGTTCTTGTGTTATGGGAACAAGTAAATAACTTTGCCTTGTCTGCTTTCTCCACACCCGTCATGGTTTTCTAGATCTCTGTCCAAGCTTTTCTCAGGGTACGCCTCTACGTTCCAGAAGATCGATGCTCTGGAGGTCGATCTTCTGGCGTTTGATTGATCAGGTCTAGATTAGACCCGTAAATCAATCGCTGAGGGCAGCTCCCGCCAGTTTCCGACACGCCTCCTTTTGCGTTTGCTCCCCTCGGTCTCCCGCAGCGTGGACACCGGCTGCAAGAGCTCGGCTTAAGGGAAGCCAACTCCAGCCATATTCTACATAGCGGGAGCTGCGCCCCTCAAGCTGATCTTCCAGGTCTAGTGTAGACTTAGCCTTTAATTTCTCCTCTTAATTATTGTTCTGTGTTTGTCTAGCACCTATCTCCGCATGCGCGCGTGTGTGTGTGTGCGTGTGTGGAGAGTCCTCGTCTGTGAGTGGGGCATGTAGGCGCCACTGCAGTGCATCTAATCACAATAATAATTTATAACCCCCCTCTGTCCCGCCCTGCTGTGCCTGTTTCTGCTCCCAATAGGAGCTAACTCCTTCTGCCCTCCCTGGAGGGAGTCTGGATTTACCCCGGCGTCCCTCCGTAGCAGGATGTTTGGCCCAGCCACTTACATGGCTTATGGGGAAAAAAATCCCCAACATCTCCCCACCCCTCCGCCTCTGCCCCTTGTTACTGAGTTGAATAAACAGCCTGGGCCTTTTCAACCCAGGCGCTAACTATCAGCTTGGCGATTGTATTCCGAAAAAGCTAAAGTGCTCGCAGAGATAAGCGCAGGAAATTGCCCCGCGTTTGTTGATCGTTCCCCTGGCTCCCAGCAGGGAACCGGAGGTAGCGAGAGACCAGCCAACAGGTGCTCTTGGGCCATGTGATGCATCGTAACTGGCCCTGTTCTGGGGGGAAGAGGGCGGCTGTGTGCCTACGCAGAGCGTGGACCAGCTTTGTCGTGGAAGACCTGAGTTCTGGCCCTGCTGCGGGGTGACCGGGGACAAGTCACGTCGCTCCGTGCCTCAGTTTCCCCTTCTGTTACATGGGGATATAATGCCCCCGCCCCTCTCTGTAAAATGCTTGGAGATCTATAGTTGAGAAGAGTGGCAGGATTATTCGTATCACACGGCTCGTCTCCTATTTGAGTCCCGTACACCTCTCGCTAATTTCCCTTCCTGTGCGCTGAACCAGGCTTTCTTGAAAGGGCCTGCCAGGAATACTGGGTGGATCAGGTCTCCTCCCAGCGCTCCTGAGCCGCATCCCTCGTGTGCGGACATTGGGCCGCCAAGACGGAGCCAGGGGAGGAACTCGAAATGGCCGGTGCGACGGGTGCATCTCGAACTAGACTCCCCTGAGCGAGCGGTCACCGAGCGAGCGCGTGAAGCCGCAGCCCTGAGAGTGAGGTAGCGGGGCAGATACAGTGGTCCCGGATTGCAGCAGGGACCCGCGTGCGAGCGCAGCATTCGTGCCGGCCACGGCCGTGCAGACAGACAGACACGAAGCCCGTTGTGGAAATCCCAGCTGGTGCTTTGCACCCTTCTGCACCAGGCCAGGCAACCCCCCGGCCTTTTGTGAATTGCCTGGGCGTCCTGCTGAGCCTGGGTCGGCGCTGGAATAGCGAATCCCACGCACAGGCCTGGCAGGCAGAGCCGCGGTGCTCTCATGTTTTGGCCCATGCCGCGCAATGCCGACCTTTCTGCACCCCACCCGCCGGGGAGGCGGTGCAGGACGGAGGGTGCAGGCGGGGGGAAAGGGGGTGATTCCCCCCGGGGCCTGGCCGTTCAAAGGGGCCCGAAGCACCTTTGAACTGCCGTGGGAGCGCCAAAGGGCCAGGAGAGCCCAGGCATCCTACTGCCTCGGGGCGTGCTGGTCTAACCATTGCACCCCACTGCTCCCCGGACTGGGAACAGAACCTGGGTCTCCCGAGGCCTAGTGGAGTATTTTAGAATCCTAGGGCTGGAGGAGCCCTCAGATCCAGGCCCCTGCCCAAAGCCGGACCAACCCCAACTCCATCCTTCCAGCCAGGGCCCTGCCAAGCCAGGACTTAGACACCTGTAGGGATGGAGATACCACCCCCTCCCTAGGGACCCCAGTCCAGCGCTTCCCCACCTGCCTAGGGAAATCGCTTGTCCTAGTACCCAACCTAGACCTCCCCCTGCAACGTGAGCCCCTTGCTCCTCGTTCTGCCCCCACTGGGAACAGCCTCCTCCAGCCTCTTGGAACCCCCCTGCAGGGAGTTGCAGGCTGCTCTCAAATCCCCCCTCACTCTCCTCTCCTGCAGATTCCCCAAACCCAGATCCCTCGGCCTCTCCTCGTAGGTCATGTGCTCCAGTCCCCGAATCATTTTGGTTGCCCTCCGCTGGCCCCTCTCCAGTGTGTCCACAATGGGGCCCAGAACTGGACGCAGTACTCCAGATGTGTCCTCCCTAGAGCTGAGTAAAGGGGAATAATCACTTCTCTGGATCTGCTGGCCAGGCTCCTCCTAATGCCCCCCAATATGCCGTTAGCCCTCCTGGCTACTATGGTGCCCTGTTGGCTCCTAAATTTTCACACTCATCTCGCTGCTGCCCTCGCCCCCCTGTGCCGCACGTCCCTGCGTCTGGCGCTCAACACCATCCATGTGCGACAATGGTGTTTGCTGTTCCCGGCCCACATCCTGTTAGTGTTGGCGACTGATGGTGATTGATTGCCATCGGGGGGAGGGAGAGGGGGGGACTGGCATCCCAGCCTTTGGCGTCTTGTTCTCCATCCCGGAGCTGTTATCTTGCCATTCTTCATTGCCAAGAACCCCGCGGACGCGGGGAAACATTAACAAAGCAGGATGTTACCTGGAGTCCTGCAGCGTTCGCTCTGCAGTTGTTTACCTGTATCCGACCGGGCTGATCGGGCATATCCCCCTAGTCTAGAGAGATCTGCCTTCCTCCTTGATGGCAGCCAATATTCCTGCTAATCTTTGCCATCCGTGTGCAGATTTTTCCCACACACATGCGGAATAAATTTATGACGTGCACCGAGTCATGTGCTAATGTGCACCACCTGCAGAAACGCACAGGTAGCTGGGGACGCTTTGCTCTTCATCTGGATGGCTTTTGACTCTCTCCTGAGTGATCACACAGCGCCCAGTTTCCAGGCAGCACCGATGGCTCTCCGCACTGATTTCTCCCCACATAAATGCCTCTTCCCCCCGGCCCAGCATCTGGATGGAACCCGGCCTTTCTGGGGGGCCAAGGTGTGTGGGGCACACGCCCTGGGCTCTTGAAGGGTTTTACGTCACGACTGAGGACCCAGGGCTGCTCAAGCCAGTGTCTGAGGTTAGGTCCATCAATACTTATTCCAGGCGGGGCAGGGAGGACGTCCCTCGCCTCTGTGTGTCAGTAGCTGGGAATGGGCGACGGGCGAGGGATCACTGGGTGATTCCCGGCTCTGTTCCCTCCCCATGGGGCACCTGGCGTTGTCTGCTGGGGCAGCCAGGATACCGGGCTGGATGGGCCTTTGCTCTGACCTCGCCTGGCCGCTCTCATGTTCTTAGGACTCAGGTTGGGGACCCCAAATTCAGCTCCACGTGGTCCCTCTTCTACCGGTAGGGCCTTGCGGGGCTGGGGGGGGGGCAAAGGGGTCGTTGTGATCTTCCTGTCCCTGGCTCCTGTGCTCAGGGAGTCCGCGTGGTCTGGGGGAGTCATGTGCTGGCGCAGGTGACTGGAAACCCCGGGGTCTGCTCCCATCTCTGCTACTGCCTCACTGTGCCCTTGCTGCTTTCCTTAGCCCAGCCCCC